GGCAGTGTTTCATTCTACTGTGCATAAGGTCGCTATGGGTCAGTACCGACTCGATGACACCTAACAACACATTTTTTAGGAGGTCCCAGTCATCTATTTTTGGTGCTGACAGTGTTACACTGCTATTCATAAGGTTCTCAGGGATGAAATATTTGGAAGTAGTTCGTCACACTCCTTCTTCCTAGTCTGTCTTAATGTGGAAGCTCATCTGAAACCTCTCCACCATCGGTGATCCTGCTGGTTTTTAAAATATTGGGGCATAACTTCCAGAAACACACAAGCCACCAAGTACAACCTGCTAGCATCAGCATACTGACTACTGAAACACAGTGAAGGGCACCAGAATATTGTCAGATGTAGTGCTAGAAGATGAGCCCTTCAGGTTGGAAGGCACTCAAAATGCAAATGGGGAAGCGCTGCCTCCTCAAAGTAGAGTTAACCATGATGACACAAATGGTTTAAAGCCTTTGGGACCTTCAAAATGAGAAGAAAAAGCTGTAAACATCTATTAACAATCAGAACATGGATTGTACAAAGTATGAATCTAGGAAAATTGGAAGTTGTCAAAAATGAAATGGAACACATAAACATCGATATCCTAGGCATTAGCGAGCTGAAAGGAGCTCTGGTACCATAGTGGTTACGAATTGGGCTGCTAACCTCAGGGTCAGCAGTTCGAAACTAACAGCAGTGCCATGGGAGAAATATGAGGCTTTCTGCTTCTGTAAAGATATCCAGCCTCGGAAACCCTGTATAGGGCCGCTGTGCGTAGGAACTACTTCATGGCACATAACAACCACCACCAGTGAGCTGAAACGAACCAGTATTGGTCATTTTGACTCTGACAATCCCATGGTTTACTATGCTGGGAATGACAAATTGAAGACGAATCGTGTCACATTCATCATCAAAAAGAATATCTCAAGATCTATCTTGAAGTAATATGCTGTCTGTGATATGATAATATCCATATGCTTACAAGGAAGACCAGTTAACACTACATGATTCACATTTATGTACCAACCACTAAAGCCAGTGATGATGAAATTGGAGAATTCTACCAACTTCTTCAGTATGAAATTGATCACATATGCAATCAAGATGTGTTGATAATTACTGTAATTGGAATGTAAAAGTTGGAAGCAAAGAAGAAGGGTCAATAGTTGGAATATATGGCCTTAGTGGTATAGGATCTGGTATTAGCTCTTGACCATTGGCTGGAACTGCAGAGGGTATGGTTGTGGCTGAGCTATATGGGCACAGTTGCTGTCTCCTGATGGGAGGGCTTGAAGAAGAAAACACACAGGAAAACAAAACAGAACAAACAAATCAAGAGCAAAAACAATGTAAAAGGAGAAAAAAGAAACTAATGTTGGCAGCAACAAGAAAAATATATAATAACTAAAAAGAGAAAAGAGGAACAAATAGAGCTATACAAGAAAAAAATAAGAAAGAAAATAAAAGGAAGATTTTTGAAAAAACGAGAGGAAAGGTGAAAAGAAAGAAACTAGAAAGTAGTAAGGAAAAATCAAGAGGAATAAAGGAGAGTGGAAATGAGGAAAAGAAGAAAAAACAAAAGTGGAGATGATGGTGTTGGTAAGTGCTATTGAGTTGGTTCCAACTCATAGTGACCCTGCATAGGGTTTCCAAGGAGCAACTGGTTAAGTTTGAACTGCCGACCTAAAATAGAAAGGATAAAAATCAAGGGAAGAGAAAGAGAGGAAGAAGGAGAAGAATCAGCAAATGGAACAATGAAAGAAAAAGTTAAAAGAAACACCCAGAGAGGAGAAAAGTTTAGAGACTTCCTGCCAATCAAGGTGCTCACAAGGTATGTATGTGACAGCTGAGTTCCTAAGCCCTAGAAAGTTCCTATGGGCCCAGGTGTTGTCTATGTTCGGAGCATTCAATCCAGATGTAGTTCATGGAGGCCCTTCAGGTTGTTGATTTCAGCGTCTGTCAAAACCAAAAGGTATCTAGGGGCAGAGTGACTAATTATGAGGGTTCTTACTAGTCTAATTCTGGCCTGAAGAGTCAATGGCTACTAAAGGTCTGGAGCAGAATCTAGGCACCAAAGCATCTACACTGGGGCTAGATAAGGGTGGGGACTGGTCACACCTCTGGTCTCCAGGTGAATGTGGAGAGAAAGGAGGAATTGCACCTTTCCTGTCACCTGTGTGAATCTGTGCCATTGTCTGTCTGTGTCTCCAAAGCTGCCCACAAATCTTAAAGATGGCTGCGCTGCATCTGTTGGCAGTCTCTTCACCAGTCTCCTTTTGCAGCAGTTGCTCAACTTCTCCTCCCAGTAAGCATTCAATCCACCTCCCTAACCTTTCCTCTGAAGCTGAGGGTTCTAGGATTGTCCTGTTCTGATTCATTTGGTCTTCTGTATCTTTGTTGTAGAGGGCCTGTGTAATGTTTCTGCCTAGTTTGCCTCCACCCACCTGGTTTTGTATATAGTATATACTGTACAGTGAAGTCTCATTGGAGTTAAGTTGTGACATTAATGCACCAGGAAGAAATACTAATCAAAATCACTGTTGGAAATCCCTTAGAAAGGTGCCACTGTGGAGACTGCTGGATTGTCTCTCGATGGGCAGCACAGCCAGGTTTTTGCCAGTATTGCAAGAGATCACTGTTTATTTACATACCAAATGAAGTATTTCATTTCAGTGGCTATAACCATACTATAAGGCTTACGTTCTTTCACCATACTTGTTCAATATGTATGCTGAGCAAATAATACGAGAAGCTGGATTCTATGAAGGAAAACGTGGCGTCAGGATTGGAGGAAGACTCATTAACAACCTGCGATATGCAAATGATACAACCTTGCTTGCTGAAAGTGAAGAGGACTTAAAATATTTACTGGTGAAGATCAAAGAGCACAGCCTTCCGTATGGATTACAACTCAATGTCAAGAAAACAAAAATCCTCACCACTGGACCAATAAACAGCATTCTTACCAACAGAGAAGAGATTGAAGTTGTCAAGGACTTCAACTATCAACAATCATGGAAGCAGCAGTCAAGAGATCAGACGACATATTGCATTGGGCAAATTTGCTGCACAGGAACTTTTTAAAGTACTGAAGAGCAGAGATGTCAGCTTGAGGACTAAGGTGCGCCTGACCCAAGCCATGGTATTTTCAATAACCTCATATGGATGCGAAAGCTGGACAGTGAATAAGGAAGATCGTAGAAGAATTGATGCCTTTGAGTTGTGGTGTTGGAGGAGAATACTGAAAGTGCCATGGGCTGCCAAAAGAACCAATAGATCTGTTTTGGAAGAAGTGCAACCAGAGTGCTCCTTGGAGGCCAAGATGGCTAGGCTTCATCTCTCATACTTTGGACACATTGTCCGGAGAGAACATTGCTGGAGAAGGATGTCATGCTGGGTAAGGTGGAGGGTCAGAGAAAAAGAGGAAGACCCCCAACGAGATAGATCAGCCAGGTGACATCATTGATGGCGTCAAGTGTGGCGGTGGTAGTGATCGGACATTGTTTCGTTCTGCTGTGCATGGGGTCGCTATGAGTCGGTTCCTACTCGATAGCACCTGACAACACAACAAGGCTTATGGAAACTGAGACCACATGAGGGAGCCCCCTACTGTCATCTCCAGTAGCTCATTTTTTCTCTCCTCAGGGTACACCCTGAGTAAAACGGCAGGTAGGCTCATCCCTCTTGCCTCCTTCCCTTCCTGTCAAGCTGAGATCCACATAAGTAGGACTCTCTTAAACTCACGATGCCACCTCACTGTATTAGAATTCCTCGTCTGAAGTTGCTCTGAAACGACTTGATAAGTTTCAGAACTGAGAGCTCCTGAAAAGCAAAGATTCCCAGGAATATCACTGTGATAGCTCAGAGTCTATTGGTAAAAAATTAAAGTCTCCTTCATGTCCACTCCTATCCTTACCCACATCTGAGCAATGAATGCAGGACACTCCAGAACCACGTTTTTACTTGTAGGCCAAGGGCCAGCACAGGTAATAGACTACTACACAGGACAGTGAACAGCATCCCTCAAAGAGCACTTTGTTTTTCCTATGACCAACCCTACCTCTTCAGCATGAGTCTCCAGATTCCTGACCACTCTTCCTTCCTTTCCAACCTGCTTGAATTCTAGTCTGGCTGCATCTGGTCTCCAGCCTGCCAACTTGGTATCACAATCCCAGAGACATTTTTAACCACCACTGGACTCCATCCCTGGTAAGGGGCTCTGGTAGTATAGGGCTTATGAGTCGGGCTGTTAACCTCAAGTCGGCAGTTCGAAACTACCAGCTGCTCCGCAGAAGAAAGATGAAACTTTCTGCTCCCATAAAGATTTACAACCTCAGAAACCCTATCCAGGATCACTATGAGTCAGAACCAACTCCACGGCACAAAACCACCACCAACCAGACTCTATGGTAATGGCACTACACCATTAAGCATGAGGTCAGCAGTTCAAACCTACCAGCAGCTCCTCAGAAACCCAATATAGGGTTGCTATGAGTCAGTACCGACTCGATGGTACTTAATAACAGACTCTAAGGTAATGCGTATACTCCACCCTAACCCTTTCATACACACGAGTAGAGGCTGGGCCCCACTGCATACAAAATGTCCTTGCAGGGTAATTTCCATACAGTTCTGTCTTTATTGATACACCAACTCACATGTGAGGGAAGTAGTGCTTTACTGGAAGATTGGAGTCCATCACATTTCAGATGTGGACGTAAACCCGGATGTGGCCAAAGGGCTCTGGCAGTCGGAGCAGCTGCAGTAGGGCTCAGAGGTACAATCCTTCTTCATAGACTTTTGAGAAATGATCATCCCCTCCAGGTCTTTCACTTTGCTTTCCACTGTCTGGAGTTTTTTCAAAATTTTCTCTTGCAGACCCAAGGACAGGAAGAGATTTTTATTGTCTTGAACTGAGAAAAGGTTCACATCTGGGTTGGCCATCAAAGTCTGAAAAAATTCTGAGCCCTTCTTGTAAAGCTTGTAGAGTGTGATTATAAACAAAAATATCCTCTAAAATGAAACAATAGATGCTGAGTGTTATTGCTTTATTCATGTGAAATGCCATAGTTTATCATAGATGCAAAACAAATCGAAACACCCAATAACCCTTGAAAACATCATTTAACAAAACATCGTCACACCAATTTCCTCCTTTCATCCTCACCACAAATTGGCGCAGTAGGCAAGTTAGATTATGATTTGCATTTAATTAGTAAAGATGATAATAACAGATAACATTTGCTGAAAGTTTGTCATGTGTTGGGCTCTACTAGGAAAACAGAACTGGGTAACCACGTAGACACCTTCCAGGTCAGACCTGTCATTATCCAAGGTCATATACTTGGAGGTGGTGGTGGTGTACCACTGAGTCGGTTCTGACTCATAGCGACCCTGTATAGGGTTTCCGAAGCTGTAAATCTTTACGGGAGCAGAAAGTTTCATCTTTCTCCCGAGGAGCAACTGGTAGATTTGAACTACTGACCTTGCGGTTAGTAGTCCAGCTCATAAACCACTACACTACCAAGGCTCCTTTGGAAGTAGTAGAGTCAGAATTTGAATCTAGGAATTCTGACTTGAAAGTGTGCTCTTAGGACAGTGGTTCTGAGAATCTGGATTTCCTGGTCATGAAAAAAAGAGAGAAATTTTGGGAGTGGTTAGAACAAATTCCTGCCAGAATGAGGATAAAAAAATCATCTTTTTCCTTATCAGAATAGTTTCTAGTACCATGTATAGAGTGCTTACTATGATCTAAGCATTATACATACGCTATCTTCCTCACTCCTCACAACAACCCTATAAGGGAGGCATTGTTAGCAAACCCATCCTACAGATGTAGAAACTGGAGCTTAGCAAGAGGTTAAGTGATGACTTTTATATCACAGAGCAAGTCATGGATCTAAGATTTAAATCTAAGCAGTTAGATGCTAGAGCCCATGCTATTAGCTACTCCTTTATTCTACCTTTTTTTTTTTTTTTTTTTTTTGCTGAGGTCTATGGAGGCCTACAAATTCATTTTTCTGACTGAATTAAACATTTACAAATTAGAACATAATCCCCAAATTTCAGACACACGTTTGGTTGTAGAACACACACACATTCCTTCTGAGCATTTAGGACAGTTTATTGTTAAATGCTGTTGAGTTGTTTCCAACGCAGAGAAACACTGCATAGGGTTTCCGAGAAGTGGCTGGTAAGTTGGAACTGACAATCTTTTGGTTATCAGTCTAGTGCTTATCTAAGTGCCACACCAGGACAGTTAGATTCCAGTTAAATAATCTTTTGGAGAAGTACTGAATTTGGAATCCTAAAAATTGAGTTCAAATCGTAACTTTGTTAGCTCTTACAAACTATAGGAACTTGGACAGGTGATAACCAAATTTCCCTTACCTGCCAATGATATGGAACCTTAATGAATCTGTTTCCTCATTTGCTATGTGAAAATAATCTCTATTACATGGAATTCTTGGGATTCTCAAAGCATTTTGGCTATACCACCATCATTTACAAGCTCTGGTAGCATAGTGGTTACAAATTGAGCTGCGAACCTTAAGGTCAGCAGTTCGAAATTACCAGCCGCTCTGCGGGAGAAAAGATGAGGCTTTCTGCTCCCGTAAAGACTTACAGCCTTGGAAACCCTGTACAGGGTCGCTATGCGTCAGAACCGACTCGACGGCACTTGACAACAACAACTATCATTTACAGTATATAAAATCCTAAATAGTTCTCACAAGGTCGGAGGTTCAAACCCAGCAGCCGCTCTCGGCATAAAACAACATTAATTATTCTATAAAAGGGTGCATGGTGGCTCTATAGGATAAGTGCTGGGCATGGAACCACAAAGTTGGTGGTTCAAGCCTACCAGCAGCTCCATGGAAGAAAGATGAAGCTTTCTGCTGTCACAACGATTCACAGCCTCAGAAACCCTATGAAGGGTCACTCTGAGTCACAATCGACAGGACAGCATGAACAAGTCTACAAAAAGTATCCTACGTAGTGTCTGGCACATAGTAGGCATTCAAAACTGAGTAAGTGATCAGATAAATTTGAAGCTAAGGCTGCTTCTCAACTTGTAAACTTGTTTGGTTATAGCACACAGGTCAAAGACCATTCTGAGAAACACCATTTTTATGTTCAAAATCTAATTGGTGAAGGCTTTCAAAGATAACCTAGTTTCAATCAACTTCAGAGACAAGGGCTCACCCTTGCTCACCTGCATATCCTTGAAACTAGGTGTTAGGTAAATGGGAGAGAAAAGATCAAATTTCAATTTATAATTATTTAAATTTCTCTGTAACAAAAGAGTATATAACCTGAATTGATTGAATACTTCTTTTCGATAAGGCATATAATCCTATGGTCAATAAAATAAAAAAGCAAATCCTCAGGATAACTTGCAGAGCCGGAACAATGTTATGCAGTATCCCCAAATTTGTCTGCTGGGGTTCACTAGATTCTCCCAGAAAAGTTGCTTGTAGCCAATTCCATATTGTGCTCAGAGAGAGAGCCTCTATAATGTCGTCCCAGGAAGAAGTTGAAGGTGGCAATGTTGACATTTTAAGAGGACAGCAGCAGTTTCAGGAACTACCTGTGCCGAGGCTTCAGGTACCTGGAGATGAGTTAAGGAGAGTTGCTTGGAGTCCCAGGTGTTCCATAGCCATTGTGAGCTGTGCTCTGTGATGTCACCGTTCCAAAGGTCATCTTGCACCCTCTCCTGCAGTGAATGTTCCCTCTCACTCAAAACCAACAGGCACTGCTGGCCTGGTTTTTACTTCATACTACTTTCTTTGATCTTTGGCAAGTCTTAGCTGTAGCACAGAACTAGCCATTAGAATGTTCTGCAATGATGGACATGTTCCATATCTCTTTTGTCCAATATGGTAGTCTCTTTTGTTGTTGTTAAGTGTCATTGAGTTGGTTCCAACCCAATGTGACCCTGTATAGAGTTTCTGAGGAGCGGCTGGTGAGTTTGAACTACCAACCTTTGTGGTCCAGTGCTACACCAGGTCTCCTGTTGGTCATTAGCCCCTTACAATATGGATAAGTGTCACTGAAGAACTGGATTTAAAATTTTACTGAATATTAAATTCAAATACTGACATGTGGCTAGTGGCTATCATACTGAAGAGTGTGGATATAAAACATATTTCAAGCAATCCTGGAAATGGATAGAGGTTATTTTCACACGACAAATAAGGAAACTGAGATGCAGTGAGGTTCAGTGGAAATTTAAGGAGATAAAATTTAATGCTTTCTTTGAGTAGTTTACTCGGCAAGTGTGAAAGGAGGTTATTAGATTATTTTGTAGCATTCATTTACTTTCATATTAGGCACTATTGTTCTTGTTAAAGGTCATCAAGTAGATTCTGTCTCATAGTGAGCCTGTATAGTGTTTTTGAGGAGCGGCTGGTGAGCTTGAACTGCTGATCTTGCTAGTGCTTATCCTACAGCACCACACCAGGACTCTTATCATTATGTCTTATTAGTCAATATTAGTTAGAAATGCTGATCTCTGGGAAGGACCTTTAACATACCTGAGGATTCCACAATCTGTAAAATAAGGATCCACCTCCTTCCCAAGGTTTAAGTGTCAAGTCGGTTCCGACCCATAGCGACCCTGAATAGGGTTTCTGAGGAGCAGCTGGTGAGCTTGAACCGCCAACCTTGCAGTTCAAACTGACCTTGCAGTACAGCACATTAACCCACAGCACCAACATTTTCAAAGGACTTTATAAACAGAGCATGCTACATTGCAACCTATGTGACAGTTACTTATGGATGAGTAACTCTGGTAGCGTAATGATTATGAATCGGGCTGTGAACTGCAAGGTCAGCAGTTCAAACCTACCAGCCATGCCGTGAGAGAAAAATAAGGCTTTTTGCTCCCATAAAGATTTACAGCCTTGGAAACCCTGTGAAGGGTCGCTATGAGTTGGAATCGACTCCACGGCACATGACCACCACCACCACCTATCATTTAAGGAGTTCTGGTAGCATAGTGGTTATGAATCAGGCTGCTAACCTCAAGGTCAGCAGTTCAAAACTAGTTTCGAAACTACAGCTTCGGAAACCCTGTGCAGGGTCTCTATGAGTCGGAACCAACTCCTCGGTACTTAACAACAACCTATCATTTGGATTCCTGGTGTGGCACGTGGATTAATGTGCTGGACTTCAAGATCTGATTGAATCGCAAGGTCAGAGGCTCAAGCTCACCAGTTGCTCCTTGAAAAGCCTATACAATCGCTATGAGTTGGAACCGACTCAGTGGCACTTAACAACAATGTTATTATTTATTTGTACTTATTATTTATTGTTGTTGTTAGGTGCCTTTGAGTCAGTTCTGATTCATACCGACTCACAACAGAAGGAAACACTGCCCAGTCCTGTGCCATCCTCCCAATTGTTGTTTGAGCTCAGTGTTGCTGCCATTGTGTCCGTCCATCTCTTAGGGGGGTCTTCCTCTTTTTCACTGATCCTCCACTTTACCAATCATGATGTTCTTCTCCAGGTACTGATCCCTCCTGACTGTGTGTCCAAAATACAAGAGACGAAGTTTCGCCATTCCAGCTTATAAAGGGCATTCTTCTAAGACAGATTTGTTTGTTCTTCTGGCAGTTCTTGGTACTTTCGGTATTCCTCACCAACACCAGAATTCAAAAGCATTGATTCTTTAAGTGTCCTTCCTTATTCACTGCCCAATTTTCACATGCATATGGGTAGTGGAGGTGATGGTGTACCATGGAGTCGGTTTCGACTCATAGCGACCCTGCATAGGGTTTCTGAGGCCGTAAATCTTGATGGGAGCAGAAAGCCTCATCTTTCTCCTGTGGAATGGCTGGTAGTTTCAAACAGGTGATTGAAAATACCATGGCTTGAGTCAGGCGTACCTTAGACCTCAAACTACATCTTTGCTCTTGAACACTTTAAAGAGGTCTTTTGCAGCAGATTTGCCTAATGCAATGACAGGTTTGCTTTCTTGACTGCTGCTTCCATGAGTGTTGATTATGGATCCTAGCAAAATAAAGTCTTTGACAACTTCAATCTTTTCTCCTTTTATCATGATGCTATTTATTGGTCCAGTTATGAGGAATTTTGTTTTTTTACATGGAGGTGCATATACATACAAAGTATATAATCTAAATTGTGAGGTCAGATTACAGAAGCTGCTGGAATACTTTTTTTTTTTTTAAGTATGAAAAATACTTAAAAAAAATTGTTTGATTTCCTGAAGTTATCTTTTAGTAAAATAAGATTGGCACACAAAATAAAGGTTATTATCCATGAACACAGTGATTCATTGAAAAACTATCTATGAAACCAGAAGGTCAATGGTTACTTGAAAGCAAAGATGAGAATTTAAGGAGACAGGGAAACTACAGTACTGAAAATGGAACAACCAGAATGCAATGAAAGAAAACGTTGACACATTGAGAAATGCAACTGTTGCTGAGCAATTTGTATAGAAATTGTCAGGTAGGGATTTAATTTGCTGTGTCAACTTTCACCAAATAAAGTATTATTTAAAAACACTGATGCCATAGAAGTCAAGGCATAACAGGTTCCAATGTGTTCGTTCTGATTGACTGGAAGAAGTAACAGGATTAAGGAAGCCTGGTAAGGAAGGAATAGCTGTTTTGATCTTTCAGATCAAGTGTCAAGTGCCTATCCAGAAAACAAAATCTAGATGCTGTTGGAAATACTGTACTTAGGTCAGGGTGAGACGACTTGAAGCCATTATTATTTAGTAATAGTTGCTATTGCAGTTGAACCCATAGACAGTCCACTAGTGACTGACTACACACAGAATCCTTTTAGCAATGATTAAAAGTTACTCAGGTAAGATACAGGATTTGCCTATATAACAGGTTAAGCATTGGTCAGAAACCATTAATTGAATGACTAGAAACTTTTTAGGAGAAAGAAAGGGTTGTGATAAGTGGATTATTTCCTTGAACTTCCTATACTAGATTAGATCTCACTCTTACATGGCACCTTGTAGTTGACTTCCAAAGCACTTAATGCAATTATAATGAATTGTGCAATTTTAGTATGTCTCCTGGATATTGTAAATTTAAGGAAGGCAAGAGACTATGTCCACTGAATTCACAATGGTATTCTTCAAACTTAGCATATAGTAGGACTTCAAATATTTTCAATATTTGAATGCACAGTCTCCTAGGATTCTAAATATTTGTGTTGCTTCAACTGTTCATTTACTGAGTGCCAATTAATATATATGTGTATTTGTTTGTATAGCAACATTATAGTAATTGAAGAGAGAACTTGGTATATATGATGGATCAGGGTTCAAATTTGGACTACTGTTCACTAACCTTGTGAATTTGAACAAGTTATTTAACATGATGCTTTGCATCTTCACTTGCAACAATGGGAACAATTCCTACTTTGTAGTGAGGATTTGATTACTTGTGTAAAAGTCTTAGAACCATGCCACACATATAGACAGGGGCAACTATATTAGTAGTGACATTTATGAGCAGATGTCAAGTATTGCAAGAGTATAAGATGCCTTAAAGATAATCTAATTCAATCCCTCCATCTCTTATTTCCCCCTCTTGGACACCTTAACACTACCAAGATGAATCTATCATACTGACAGACATCTCAGTCCCCCTTTAGACAGGGTCCTCTCCACTCCCTCCTTCAGTAGTAACTCACTAATCTGCCACATCATGCAGTTAGGGTGGACTAATTTATACAACACCTACCTTCAAGTCATCAATAGACTCTTCATTGCCTTGCAAATAAATCCTAATAATAGCTATCAGGCCCTAAGAGACCTGGTGGTAGATGTGGTTGTGTACTGTCAGTTGGTTCCTATTCATAGAGACCCTCCCTACATAGGGTTTCCAAGGCTATCAATCTTTCCGGGAGCAAAAAACCACAACCTTCTCCAGAGGAGTGGGATATTCAAACCGCTGACCTTGCAGTTAGCAGCCTAACTCATAATCCATCAGAACTCCTTCTAAGATACCTGTTGTTATTAAATGCTGTCGAGTCAGTTCTGACTCATAGTGACCCTGTATAGGATTTCCAAGGAGCAGCTAGTGGGTTTGAATCACCAGCCTTGTAGTTCGCAGTCTAGTGCTGATTCTACAGTGCCATACCATGAGTCTTCTAACCTGCTTATTTATTGAAACTTCTCTCCTTTCCCATTTATGCTCTCAATTCCAGCTATACTGGACCTGTACATTTCTCAACTATACAAGCTGTTGCACTACAAAGCCTTTCATATAACTGATAACCCTCTCTCTTTGCAAGGATGGCTCATTGATTCTTCAGGTTTTAGTTTAAATATCATAAAGCTTTTCCTGTTTTTGATCCCAATCACAGAGCTTCTTTTGCATGACTTTAACTAATTATTTATAGTGAGTTGTTTAATGTGTTTCCCCTACTAAACATTCATTTCCATGATATAGGAACCTTGTTGTATCTTGCTCAGCACTATTCCCAGGGGTGAACAGATGGTAGTAAATATTTGGTTTTGTACTATTCTGATAGCTTTCCTGTGCCTTCTGGCATCTTTTTCAACCTA